TTTCTCTCATTCTTTCTTTCTCTCTCTCTCTCTCTCTCTCTCTCTCTCTCTCTCTTTCTTTCTTTCTTTCTCTATTTCCTTTTTCTCTATTTCTTTCTTTTTCTAATTGGTAAGATGTTGTCTCCATGTTAAGACATGGTAATGCTTTCTTTATCTATGGAGTGCTTCACTATAGCCTTTTATTTCTACTTAAGGTATGTTGATGTTTGCTCTGAGGATATTTTAGCAGAGAGAACACTACAACTGATATTATACAAATTAGTGACTAATTGTGTAGAACTTGTTAGGTACAAAGTGAGATGATTTCAACGTATTTATAATTGTTTTAGTCAGCTTTTTCACTGCTATTACTAAAAGATCTCACCAGAAAACTGTAGAAGAAAGAAAATTTTCAGGGCTCATGGTTTCAGAGGTCTTAGTCCATAGAAGGCTGGCTCCATTCTTCCAGGCTGAACATCATGGAGGGAAACTTTGGTAGAGGGAAGAAGCTGACATCATGATCAGGAAACAGAGGGAGAGAATTTACTCTCTAGGTACAAAATATATACCCCATAGCCATGCCTCCAATGAATCACTTTCTCCAGCTGCACCCCACTTGTCTCCAGCCATCACTAAATTAATCCCATCAAGGATAGATTCACTGATTATATTAAGGCTATAACCAAATAATTTCTCCTTCAAACCTTCTTGCATTGTCACACATGTGAGCTTTTAGGGGGATACCACATCTAAAACATAACAATAATCAAACATTTATCAGAAACCGTTATGAGCTTTCCACTATGTTAAGAGGAATAAGTGCAATGGAAAAGCTTAATGAGAAACTCTTATTTATATCAAGGAACTTTTGTTATTGTTTCTGGTAATGGAACCCAGGACCTCTAGCATGGTAAGTGCTGGCTTTTCCATTAATTAAGCTCCACCCCCAGATTCTAGCAACCTTTAATCTTGGATGTGTCATTTTCCAAAACTAGTAAGTGGTTTAGAGAATAAATGAAAATAATTTAAAGGAACATGAGCCATCTTTCTTATAAATTCTGACTTGTGATTCTTTATATATTAGACTTTTATTAATCAACAGTTCATTATTTTTATCTGCAATTTCATCAGCCTTCCTTGATTATATTCAATGCAGACCCTATATTAATAGAACTTTATTTAATTTATTATGCTTTTGTGTTTACAGTGGGATCATGAAACCAGGCCTTAATGCTATTATGGAATGCACAGGTGTAAGCAAATCTTTGTGAGTATAACAGGAAGTATAAGTCAGCCTTTGTATTTCAGTATGCTTTTAAACATCACTTTGGTGGAAGCAGGTGTTGACTGAGCCTTTGCTATGTGTGCCAATCTGTTTCTAGGTGCTGGAGATAACATGCAGTTGGGCTAGCTTGTTGCTTTATTCCAAATACCAAGAAGTCTTATTACATCAGCCTAGCTAAGTGTGATTTATATGCAGCTGTTATTATATTATGAGATAATCAGGAGGAAAAAGAAGGGAATGATATTAAAAATGGGGATGGAGCAGAAGGAATAATTGAAGACATGAGTTTAAAGAAAGGAGTGGTTTAGATCCATCAAAGTCAAATAGTCAAGAAGGTCACATGGAAAGTCTTTGATGAATAAACTGCAGTTACCTTGCTTTTACATTTTGAAGCTTTCTTTTAACATAGAATGTAAAGGAAGGTGAAAATGTAAATATATGTAAATGCATATACATATGTATATATAAGGTATGTATGTATATATATATGTGTGTGTGTGTGTGTGTGTGTGTGTGTGTGTGTGTGTATGCACATAAAGACTAAGAAAAAGAGAGACACTTCTACTCAGCCATACAGAATGATGAAATTATGTCATCTGCTAGTAAATGGAAGGATCTAAAAAACATCATGCTAAGTGAACTAAGCCAGATTTTGGATATCAAGGGTTGAATGTATTCTCTCATATGCAGAAACTAGAGAGGAAAAAAGAAATAAAAAAGCAATGTCATAAAAATAGAAATCAGTAAAGATGGGGGAACAGGGATAGAAAAGAGGGAAAATAATGGGGAAGAAGGAAGCAATAAGGTTGACCAAATGATGCTATGAGTATATATGTATATATGAAAATGCATCTCAAATTTATATATAAATATGATGCATCAATTAAAAATAAATAAATAGAAGGAAAATGAATAAGTAGAGGAAAGAGATCAGGGAATGGAAGGGAGGGAAGAAAATGGAAGTATTGAGGATTGGAATGAAACAAACTGTTATATGCACTTATGAATATGTCATGATGAACCACACTATTATATATACCCATTATGCACTAATAAAATGTTTTAAATATAAGTATATACACACATATATATTTGTACAATTTTAGTTTAACCATAGATTTTTTTGACTAGCTCTCTTTCTACCTGGAGCAAAATTTGGATTCAGAATAGCTGAGAGATATGGTCTGTGTTAGTGGGAAAACACAACATATATGTCTTTTTGTAGCTTGCTGGATGTCTTAGCTGCAAGGAAAGATCCAAGTGGATTATCTGGAGACATTTTGATTAATGGAGCCCCTCGACCTGCCAATTTCAAATATAATTCAGGTTTTGTGGTTCAAGTAAGTATTAGCTTGTCTGCCTTCTGGGTTTCCCCTACTTCTGTATGGGAAATGCTTTGGCTTATGGTTTTGTGTGCTACCAGTTGGATTTACATGGTTAAGGAATTGACTTTCTTTACACCAGCTTTTCACAATATCTGCTTAGATTGAGGGTGGAACAAATCGGAAAGATGGAGAGGACTTCTAGGCAGTGGTGTCAATTCTACTTTTGGTATCATTTCCAAAAGGGTCTGCTGTTGTCCTTTTTGTCCTTCTTTCATCTCTTTCCATCCACATGAAGATGCCTTTGTCAAATCTTCACATAAAGAAGTTTGGATGTGTTTAGAAGTCTTCATAATTACCTGTGTTCTACCTGGGTTGCAGGTGGGGGATGAAAATGCCTCCTTCCAGCTCTGCAGCTGTCTGTGTATGAATCACTGAAATTTGTAGAGTTGAAAGTTCACCATTAGATAAAACTTTACATTGCTTATATTGTTTTCATGAATTATGTTAAATACTCTAGAGTGATGGTCTTAGAAAGGACTCAGTGTGTCCCATTGAAATCCCATCTTCCCCTTCAGGATGATCTCGTGCTCGGCACCTTGACAGTGAGAGAAAAACTTAGCATTCTCAGCGGCTCTTCGGCTTCCAACAACTATGAAAAAGATAAACGGATTAAAATGGTCATTGATGAGTTAGGTCTGAATAAAATGGCTGATTCCAAGGTAATGTGAAAAAAAACAACAGAACCAGACAGGAACAAGGACCTCCCTGTGTGGACTATGTGACCTTAATCAGAAGTTTCCTAGAGCATGTGAGGTCAAAAGTGTCTGTTTTCTGTAATGACGAGAAAGGTGACTGGTTACATAGTATGAAGGTAGAAATGAAGGTGGAAAAGCAATCTTAACTGTGGTGTGATCCTGGGGATGGAGTTTGGTCCCTATGGAGAGTGCTCCTCATGGCCTTTTCCACTGTCTTCCCACCCTAATTGTTCAAGTCACAGCTCTTTTGATGTCTTTGCACTGACTTTTCTTCTTTCTCTTTTTCTCTGTCTCATTTCAGCTGCTCTTCTCACTCTCTTCCTCTGGGGAATTCTGTTCAGTTGATATTTTTATATTTCTGGAATTCATAAATGACTTGAATCCAAAAATTCTTGCTGTTTCATATTGGTGTAATTTGTCTTGAAAACTATACTTATTCTCATTAAGATTTACATTGAATTTTTTCAGTGACCAGGTTATTTTTCCATGGCTTCTTTGGCATTTTTGTTTCTCATTCCCTCCCTCATTCTCTCCCTTTTTCCCTTTTCTCTGCCAATATTTATTTCCAGACTCTTATAAACCAGGCTCTTTCAGGTTTGAGGAATGCAGTTGTCAGCAAGAGTAACAAAAAATAGAGAAACAAACTCCTCCTATTGTGGGTTGTGCAGGATAAAGGAAGAAAAATGAGATGAAATAGTTAGTTTTATAGTTGACCACTCCGTACAAAACTTTTGCTGATAAGACATTTGAAGATTGTGATGATAATGAGCCAAATAAAATGTGGTGACTCTGGATTAAGCCCCTGTGACCTGCCTCATAGAGGCAATGAAAAAGGGGGTACCACTGGTTGCTGCTTCCTGTTATATTTGCTGATAGTTTTTTTATGTGAAATGTATTTTGTTTAGAAGAATAACCCTGTGAAGCCACTATTTTCCATTTGTTTTAGTTTAAGAGTGATTAAATTGTCATTACTTTGGCTGTTTATTTACTTGATATTTTCCATATGGGTGCATATTTTTCTTACTCTCTTTTAAGCATTCACTGCCCTAAAGTGCTTGCTTGTATTTCTAGGAAAAATACACAGAGGCACATTTGGCTCATGATTCATATATTCTAACTGATTGAAATATTTTTTTAATTTTTTAATTGATTTTTTAATACATGACAGTGGAATGCATTACAATTCTTATTACACATAAAAGCATAATTTCTCATCTTTGTATATAAAGAAAGTTCATACCAATTCATGTCTTTCATACGTATACTTTGGGGTTTTTTATTTACAATTTTTACTACACATATATACCACAATTTTTCATATCTCTGTTTATACATAAAGTATGTTGACACCCAGTTTGTGTCTTCATACATGTGTGTTGGATAATGATGTCCATCACATTCCACTATCCTTGCTAATCCCCTACCCCCTCCCTTTCCCTCTCACCCCTTGTCCCCATCTACAGTTCATCTATTTCTCCCATGCTACTCCTCCCTACCCTACTATGAGTCAGCCTCTTTATATCAAAGAAAACATTTAGCATTTGTTTTTTGGGATTGGCTAACTTCACTTAGCATTATCTTCTCTAATACCATCCATTTACCTGCAAATGCCAAGATTTTATTCTCTTTTATTGCTGAGTAATATTGCTGTATATATGCCACTTTTTTTATTCATTCATCCACTGAAGGCCATCTAGGTTGGCTCCACATTTCAGCTATTGTGAATTGTGCTGCCATAAACATTGATGTGGCTGTGTCCTTGTGGTATGCTTTGTGGTATGCTTTTTTTTTTAAGTCCTTTGGATAATAATCCAAGGAGAGGGATAGCTGGGTCAAATGGTGGTTTCATTCCCAGATTTCTAAGGAATCTCCATAGTGCTTTCCGTATTGGCTGCACCAATTTGCAGTACTACCCCGCAATGTATAAGTACACCTTTTCCCCCACATCCTCACCAACACTTATTGTTCTTTGTCTTCATAATAGCTGACATTATGACTGGAATGAGATGATATCTTGGAGTAGTTTTGTATTTCTCTAATTGCTAGAGATGATGAGTATTTTTTTATATATTTGTTGATTGATTGTATATCCTCTTCTGAGAAGTGTATGTTCAGGTCCTTGATCCATCCATTTGTTGATTATGTCATTTGATTTTTTTGGTGCTTAGCATTTTGAGTTCTTTATGAATTCAAGTGATTAGTGCTCTATCTGATGTGTAAGGGGTAAAAATCTGCTCCCAAGATGTGCTCTCTGTTCACCTCACAGTTTGTTTCTTTTGCTGAGAAGAAACTTTTTAGTTTGATTTTATCCCATTTATTGATTCTTTTAAATTCTTGTGCAAAGGGGTCTTATTAAGAAAGTTGGCACAGAATTCACTTGATAAAAAATAGGGCCTACTTTTTCTTCTATTAGACAGAGAGTCCCTGGTTTAATTCCAAGGTCTTTGAACTATTTTGAATTAAGTTTTGGGCATGGTGAGAGATGGGGGTTTAATTTCATTTTTTTTGCATATGGATTTCCAGTTTTGCCAGAATCATTTGTTGAAGAGGCTATCTTTTCTGCGTGCATGTTTTTGGCACCTTTGTCTATTATAAGATAATTGTAATTTTGTTAGTTAGTCTCTGTGTCCTCTATTCTGTACCATTGGTCTACTAGTCTGTTTTGGTGCCAATATCATGCTGTTTTTGTTACTATTGCTCTGTAATATTGTTTAAGGTCCAGTATAGTGATGACACCTGCTTCACTCTTCATTCTAAGGATTATTTTAGCTATTCTGGGTCTCTTATTTTTTCAGATAAACTTCATGATTGCTTTTTCTATTTCTATGAGGAATGCCATTGGGGTTTTGATTGGCATTGCATTAAATCTGTATAGTGCATTTGGTGGTATGGTCATTTTCATAATATTAGTTCTGCCTGTCCAAGAGCAAGGTAGATATTTCCATCTTCTAAAGTCTTCTTTGATTTCTCTCTTTAGGGTCCTGTAGTTTTCATTGTACAGATTCTTCACCTCTTTTGTTAAGTTGATTCCCAAGTATCTTATTTTATTTTTTGAAGTTATTGTGAATGGGGTAGTTTTCCTCATTTTCTTCTCAGAGAATTGTCACTAATATATAGAAATGTCTTTGATTTATGGGTGGTGATTTTATATCCTGCTACTTTGCTGAATTTATTGACTAGTTCTAGAAGTTTTCTGGTGGAGTTTTTTGGGTCTTCTAGATATAGAATCATATTTTCAGCAAATAGTGGTAATTTAAGTTCTTCTTTTCATATACATATCTCTTTTATTTCTATTGTCTGTCTAATTGCTCTGGCCAGTGTTTCAAGAAAGATGTTGAATATAAGTGATGAAAGAGGGTATCCCTGTTTTGTTCCAGTTTTTAGAGGAAATGCCTTCAATTTTTCCCCATTTAGAATGATGTTGGCCTGAGCCTTCACGTAGATGCCTTAAGATGTTGAGATATGTTCCTATTATCCCTAGTTTTTGTAGTGTTTTGAACATAAAGGGGTGCTGTGTTATGTCCAATGCTTTTTCTGGATCTGTTGAGATTATTCTTAACTTAAGTCTATTGATGTGATGAATTACATTGATTCATTTCCATATGTTGAACCAACCTTGCATGTCTGGTATGAATTCCACATTATCATGGTGAGCAATCTTTTTGATATGTTTTGTATTTGATTTGTCAGAATTTTATCGAGAATTTTTGCATCTATGTTCATTAGAAATATTGGTCTGAAGTTTTATTTTTTTTAATGTGTCTTTGCCTGGTTTGGGAATCAGGGTGATATTGGCCCCATAGAATGAGTTTGGAAGTGCTACCTCTTTTTTTCTATTTCCTGAGATAAATTGGAGAGTATGGGTATTAATTATTCTTTAAATGTCTTGTAGAACTCGGCTGCATATCCATCGAGTCCTGAGCTTTCCTTGGTTGGTTAGCTTCGATGGCATCTTCTATTTCCTCATTTCATATTGGTCTGTTTAAATTGTGTATATCTTCATAACTCAATATGGGAAAATTGTATGACTTAAGAAATTTGTTGATGCCTTCAATGTCTTCTATTTTATTTGAGTATAAGCTTTCAAAATAATGCCTAATTATCCTCTGTATTTCTGAAGTGTCTGTGGTGATATTATCTTTTTCATCACATATGCTGTTAATTCGAGTTCTGTCTCTCCTTCTCTTCATTATCATGGCTAAGGGTCAGACAGTTTTATTTAGTTTTTCAAAGAACCAACTTTTGGTTTTGTCAAATTTTTCAATCGTTTCTTTTGTTTTGAGTTCATTAATTTCAGCTGTAATTTTAATTATTTCTTACCTTCTGCTTTTGGTGTTTATTTTTTTTTCTTTTTCTAGGGCTTTGAGATGTAGTGTGAGTTCATTAATTTGTTGACTTTTTCTTCTTTTAAGGAATAACTCCATGCAATGAATTTTCCTCTTAGTTCTCTTTTCATAGTGTCCCAGAGATTTCAGTTTGTTGTGTCTATGATCTCATTTACCTCTAGAATTTTTTAATGTCCTCCTTGATGTCTTCTGCAACCCATTTTTCATTCAGTGGCATGTTGTTTAGTCTCAGGTGATGGAGAAAATTTTATTTTTTATTTTGTCACTGATTTACAATTTCATTCCATTATGAACTGATAAAATACATAGTAGTTTCTCTACTTTTTTGAATTTTCTAAGAGTTTCTTTTTGACATATTATATGGTCTATTTTAGAGAAGGATACATGTGCTGCTGAGAAGAAAGTGTATCCACTTGACGCAGGTTAAAATATTCTATATATATGTCAGTTAAGCCTAAGTCATCGATTATATTATTAACTTCTATAGTTTTTTTAATTTAACTTTTTTTCAAAGATCTATACAGTGGTGAGAGAAGTGTGTTAAAGTCACCCAAGATTGTTGTATTGTGGTCATTTTGACTCTTGAATTTGAGAAGAATTTGTTTGATGAACATAGCTGCACCATTGTTTGGGGGCATATATATTTATGGTTGTTATCTCTTGTTGGTGTATGGGTCCCTTGAGCAGTATGTAATGTCCATCTTTATCCCTTTTGATTAATTTTGGCTTGAAGTCTACTTTATTTGATATGAGGATGGAGACCCCTGCTTGCTTCTGCAATCCCTGTGAGTGGTATGATTTTTCCCAACTTTTCACCTTCAGTCTGTGTATGTCTTTTCCTATCAGATGAGTCTCCTGGAGGCAGCATATTGTTAGGTCTTTTTTTAAATTCAATCTGCTAGCCTGTGTCTTTTGATTGGTGAGTTTAAGCCATTAATATTTGGAGTTATTATTGAGACATGGTTTATATTTTCAGCCATATTTGTTTATTTTTGTTATTTAATTTGACTTGGTTTTCTTCTTTGATTAGTTTTTCCTTGAGTGTACTATCTCCTTCTTCTGATTTTCATCATTATTTTTCATTTTCTCTTTATGGAATATTTTGCCAAAGATGATTTGTAGTGCCAGTTTTCTAGCTATAAATTCTTTTAACTTTTGTTTATCATGGAAGGTTTTTATTTCATCTTCAAATCTTAAGCTTAATTTTGCTGGATACAAGATTCTTGGTTGGCACCCATTATCTTTCAAAACTTGATGTATGTTGTTCCAAGATCTTCTAGCTTTCAGGGTCTGTGTTGAAAATCTGCCATTATTCTAATTGGTTTTCCCCTATATGTAATCTGATTTCTTTCTCTTGAGGCTTTTAAAATTCTCTCCTTATTCTGTATGTTGGGTATTTTCATTATAATGTTCCTTGGTGTGGATTTGTTGTGATTTTGCACATTTGGCATCCTGTAGACTTCTTGAATATGGATTTCCAATTCATTCATTATGTTTGGAAAGTTTTATAATATTATTTAATTGAATAGAATGTTCATTCCTTTGGTTTGGAGCTCTATGCCTTTCTCTATCCCAATAACTCTTAAATTTGGTGTTTTTATGCAATCCCATATTTCTTAAATGTTCTGCTCCTGGTTTCTTACCATTATTGCTGTGGGGTCTATGTTCTTTTCAAGATTATATATTTTATCTTCATTGTCTAATGTCCTATCTTTCAAGTGGTCTACTCTATTGGCCATGCTTTCATTTGAGCTTTTAATTCCATTGTTTCTTTCATTTCAAGGATTTCCATTTGATTTGGTTGTTTGCTTATTTATTTATTTATCTAGAACCTCTATCTCCCTATTTAGGTGATCTTTTGCTTCTTGGATTTGTTTTTGTAGCACATTGTAAAGTGATCTTTCACTGCTTGTATTTGTTCTCTTATTTCTTCTTTGAATTTACAATGCATTTTAACCATCTATATCCTGAAATCATTCTCTGTAGTTTTTTCTGGCTTAGCTGCCAGTGCTTCTAATGATGTGTTGTCTTGATTTGTTTGTTGTACTTTCTACACTTGTTTGTTTCATGTCGCTTGTGTGTCTTCCTGTCCAGCTCTGTGGGTCTGGTGTGCTAATTGATTTTACCCAATAGATTTGTAGTGCTCTTGTAGTTTTCCAAGATTCCCTCTTTTTGAGGAAGGACAATGTTAACAGATCCCAATATCAACAATAAATCACCTAAGAACAATTTGGTGTTATTAAGACATTTACGATGTAGTCTCAATGTCCAGTAATGTTGGATTTAATTATTATTTACAATATAATCAGTAGTTTCATAAAAAGGTTTACAGTTTCTGGTGGTGGACAATGAACCAGGGGTCAGACCTAGGACGATATTCTGAGGGGAAAAGATATAAGAGTATAGAGTTAATGTGTCTTAGTAAATGTGAAAGAGAAATCTAGTGAGGAGGGTTAGTAGCAGGGGAAGAAATGGGAAGTAATTTAGGTTAGACAAGTATGTGGGAAGATAATAGAGTACATAAAACAAACACACATGTATTTAGAAAAATACAGAATGCAAAAGTAGTAAAACTTGGAGGATGAAAGAAGAAGGAAAAAAGGGAAAAAAGAAAGAGGAAAAAAGAGAAAAAAGGGGGTAAAATGGGGGGGCTTATGCAACTCCTCTATATTATATTATTCAGGTGACTAAGTCCTCAAAGTCCTATTTCATGCAAAGTTCTTGGTTTCACATATGTTTGGGAAGTGAGGACCCAAGGATAGAAGGGTAGAAGAGAAAGAAGAAAAAGAAAAAAATACTTGAAAAAAGAAACCATGGTTTTTGCTAGTTTTAGAGATCTGTTTCTTTCCTGCTTCTCTTCTCATCCAGTAGATTGGGTTGTCTGTTTTAAGCTGGTGTCTCTGCCCTCAGAATGGTGTAGGTAACCTGGGTGAGAAGACTGGACCTGGTGTAGAGCATCTGTAAGTGGGGAGTGCCACCCACCATTTCCAGCAAGAAAATTGTACCTCTCAGGTCTCTTTTTGGGACAGCTCATCTGACTTGGGCCCCCAGTATCATCTTCCTTTCTTGCCTGAAGATTTCCCAGATCCTGGTCTCTCTGTTATGCTAAAGACTTTAGTCCCTTCCCCTCTCTTTCTTATCAGATCCCAATAGCAGCACCTCTCACCCCTAGGCTCATACCAGGTGGGCAGTGCCCTGGTCACACTGCTCACCTGCCTAACTGAGAGCTGCTTTTATATTGGGTCATTATTGTGCTGAATTATCACCACTGGGGCAGCAGGGGGAGTTGGAAACCAGGTACCTGCTCAGATGGAGATTCAATCTGAAAACCATGCCCACCAAATATGGCGAGAAAGATTTTTCAAGATGGAGTTGGTCTGCGTCCAGAGCCAGGGTGTCTCAAGAGGTGGGGGGAGCTGGGCAATGGCATTGTGCTGTGGATAGATAGCAGCTGAGTGACCTGCATGGGAGCCAAGCACAGTCTGGAGTTCTGCAGAGGTGCTGATAGCTGATTCTGCTAAGCTGCTTGAGAGCCGTGCATGAGCTAGAACTGCAGACTTTGGGTCCAGAGTCTGGAGTCCTACTCTAATGCAGAGGCTCTGATTTCTGCATGTGGGGGTCACAGTGCTGGTGATTTTTGTGAAAATCTGCTGTATAGAGGTCCTCTCACACTCTCTGAGATGTTGTATTACAACGAGGTAAGACCTGGGTCACGGAGCTACACAGGATGCTGCCTCTTTCTGGCCCTCCATCTTGAAATCCTAATAATTTTAAATTTTTTAACCTTATAAGTCTTTCTAAGCATTATAAAACAGTAGAGAAGGCAGTCTAATTATACCAATAAAGTGACTTTTGGATAATTACTATAACAATATAATTACAAATACTGTTCACCTAGACTTCTCAGGTGTTAACATCTTATACCCATAATTAGTACAGGTATTTTTTTCTAAGTATTTTACATAATGTTATATTTCATCCTTGAGTACTTAATAGGCATCTCAAAAAAAAATAAGGACATTTGCCTACCTTACTACAATATAATTATCAACTAACAAAATGAACAATATTTCATATCATCAGTTATGTTAAGCCTTTATTCAATCACATTTCCCAAATCCTCTCCAAAAGCATCTTAGAGTTTAGTTATCAATAAATTCAATAAAGAACTGTGAGTAACATTTGAATACTATCTTTTCTGAGACTTTTAATTTTGATACCATTTCCTACTTTCTGCCTCCCAAACCTTCCTAGTTCCCTCATCAGACACATAGGCATTTACTAGTTCTGGTTACAAAGATTGAGCCATTTGCCCTGTGGAATATTCCATCTTCTGGATATAAATATCCATATCCCTGGACATGTCTGAAAGGGTGAATTTGGAATTTTGCAGTGAGTCAGGGTGTAGACTGAATCATTATCAAAGCATTATGGTGATTGGAAAGGTACTAATATGGTATGTTAGAAAGTGAACTTTCCCTTTGGAGTGCATCCTGTTCTTGTAAGTCTACTTGGGAACTTTGGGTGGAAACAGATGTGTTGCTAGAAGACTAATGATTTACTACATAAGATCCATTTCCTTTTCTCCTCCTATCTTTTCTCCTATTTTAGACAATAATTTCACGGTTAGGGCCATATCTTTTTAGTATTCTAACTTACTATCTTAAAACTAAATATTTGTCTTGGTGAGGAATATACAGAACTGTAAAAAGTACGGGCTTCATATCAGGTCCAGCCAGTGAACAACTCTGCCCTGAGCCTCAGTTTACTCATCTGGTAAAAGAAATTTCCTCCTTCTCCCAGGTTCACTTATTTTCTGTTTCATAATTAGGATGGTGAAATAAATTTCTCTAGCAAGAGTAGCACAGTTTAGTTCACCAAATGATAATGATTATTCTCTTCCTTGTTTATAATGTAATAATTTGTGTTTTAGGTTGGATCTAGAGAAGAAATAAAAAGGACCAGTATAGCAATGGGGCTGATCACTGATCCTTCCATCTTATTCCTGAATGAACCCACAAATGGTTTAGACTGGAGCACAGCAAATGCTATCTTTTCGCTCCTGAAAAAGTAAGTGCTATGGGAATATTGCTTTCATTAATTTAATATCTGGTAACTTCTGTGTACCATATATTCTTGGTTAAGGGATTCAGAAATAAACAATATAACTTTTTTCTTGTTTCTTGGAAACAATTAACAGGATGCTCACCATGCACAAAAGTTAACTCAAAATGGATCAAGGAGCTTGATATCAAATCAGAGACTCTGTGTCTGATAGAATAAAAAATTGGCTCTGATCTACATATTGTGGGGTCGGACTCCAAATTCCTTAATAGGACACCCATAGCACAAGAGTTAATAACAAGAATCAACAAATAGGACTTACTTAAACTAAAAAGTTTTTTTCTCAGCAAGAGAAACAATAAGAGAGGTAAATAG